CTAATAATAATTTGCTTGATTCCAAAACAGTATTTGTGATACAGAATGGAATTCTCAGCATTTAACAGCAGTATTGCACCCGTAAAAAGTTATATTTGTAAAGTCTCAGCGAGATTGAAATGAGTAATTCCAACGTTTCGTTCGGCAATCTGGTCCGAACTTCTTCAGGGAAATTAGTCGAAATGACCATTACATAGGTTTATATATAAAAAGGAACATCACTTGTTTTTGAAAATTTGTCCAATCATGAGTCATTCAAAAAGTATCAACAAGTATAATAAACGAAATTTTATCAGCTGTGATCAAAATTTGACCTCGGACTTACAAATATTGGTCTACCTTTGTTAAACACTTTAAACAGAGTGTGTGTGTGGGTGTGTGGGTAAACAGTTGTAAAACATTTCTTAACGTTTTCATAAGTGATGTTCCTTTTTATATATAAACCTATGTTATGTTAGTTTCGATTAATTTCCCTGAAGAAGTTCTGGCCAGACTGCCGAACGAAACGTTGGAATTACTCATTTCAACCTCGCTGAGACTTTACAAATATAACTTTTTACAAATGTCTACTTCTCACTCGGCGCCCAAATATTTTAGAACTATTCTGTCAAATCTTGACGACAGTTCATTTGAAGTATTGCACCCAGTTTGTGCATTAACAATAAATAAAATTCAATATACATTATGGTAATCTCAGTTAGTTTTGACAAGAACATATTAGCATGTTGGTAGCAAAGCCAAAAGTGAACAGAATATTTGAAGGCGTTAGAAAAGTACATACTAATATATTGACTGGCATAAGCGGTAACAAAATGGTCAAGATATACACAGTGTGAAAGAACGAAAAAATATGTTCTAAGTAGAGTTTGTAAGGAAGAGGGAAACAAAACACTCATTAATATCACGGATATTATATACATAAATATTTATATATGTATATATATCAAGTTCAAATTTCATTAGCCGTCTGTTTTTACGTTTTCGTTATTTCTATTTCTTTGCAACGTTTGAGTAGATTGAAAATCCCCATTGAGTCATATGAAAAAGAAAAGACATTCAGCGAAGAGACTCTTTTCGGCGAATTCATTCACATAGCTGTACAATCGCATTTATATATAAATATTTGTGTGTGTGTGTACATGAGGTTTGTCAAGTTTAGATAATTGATTAGTTAATACAAGAGTGATGTAGTATAGAGACAAAGTTAATGAGACAGCAACTAAAGTAAGACTGAGTTAAAAAACTAGATGACGTAATATAATTGGCTAAAATGTTACAACTTAGGTCAGGATAGCAACAGAGGTAATTACAGGTAGAGATTAAGTAGAAGTGAAATTGAGTGAATAAGTTGGGTGACGTCTTCTTCTTCTCAATTGTCTCAATTGTAACATTTTACATTTTCAACTTTCTGGTTCTCTACCCCCACCCGATTCAATCTCTACACCCCACTACCACTGTTACTGACTTGAACAACGCTCAGTTCCTAGTCATTCATGTTACGTCACCCAACTTATTCACTCAATTTCACTTCTACTTAATCTCTACCTGTAATTACCTCTGTTGCTATCCTGACCTAAGTTGTAACATTTTAGCCAATTATATTACGTCATCTAGTTTTTTAACTCAGTCTTACTTTAGTTGCTGTCTCATTAACTTTGTCTCTATACTACATCACTCTTGTATTAACTAATCAATTATCTAAACTTGACAAACCTCATGTACACACACACACAAATATTTATATATAAATGCGATTGTACAGCTATGTGAATGAATTCGCCGAAAAGAGTCTCTTCGCTGAATATCTTTTCTTTTTCATATTTCTATTTCTGTGCTTTAGTCTGAATAACCTACACTAATTATTACTATGATTATCTCTTTTCTTTTGGCGACGACACCAGAGGATTAAGTGGTGACAGAATCAACTTCATTCGCAGTAGCAACAAAGCTGTAACAAACTGCATACTACAAACAACATGTTATTAGTCCCAGCACCATTCCTTTTAGAGTCAACCAAAGATTCGGTAGTCGAGTGGTTGGATGAATTACGCAGAAGTTTACCGAAGACCAGGAACCTTTACCTCACGATCAAGAAGGAAGCAGAAAGAAATGAAATTTGTCCTTTTTAGCTCGTAAAAGGGATAATGGATATTGGTTACCTGATTTTCAGTACGTTTCATACTAATCTGGGGGAAAATCTGATATGTCCATACAGTAGCATTCTTTTAGTGTAAAACAGTATATTACTCTCATAACAAAACGGCATCTCAATAGTCGCTTCGATTCCTGAATTTGCATCTAGGATTTGGAACTAAAGAACCTTGGGGCTCACGATGACATAGAAAATTTCAAGGTTGAATTGTGTGGAGGGACGTTTGTTCTTTCAAGGTTATACGTCGTAACACACACAATGATGGGATTTAATTGTCGTTCTCTTATCTTTTCGCGCTCCGTGATGCATTTCAATCCGATTATAGAAAGTATGTTTTTTGCGTTGTCAGTTCTTAACTTACAGATAATCCTCGTTGTCTTTACCATATGCGAGTCAAGGTAGCCAATCCAGTTGTTGATTTAGATGGAGATGAAATGACCCGTATAATTTGGGAAAAAATTAAATCCACTGTAATTAAATGATATGTTCCTACTAATACAACAGCTTATATTCCCCTTTGTGGATGTCGAGTGTAAATACTACGATTTAGGTCTTACCAATCGTGACCAAACGAATGATCAAGTTACAATTGATGCAGCACACGCTATTAAAAAATATAATGTGGGAATTAAGTGTGCAACTATCACTCCTGATGAACAGCGCGTTAAAGGTTTGCTATTCTTGGGTAATTCGTCACTTTTAGAGTTCAATTTAAAAAAGATGTGGTTATCTCCAAATGGTACCATTCGTAATATACTTGGTGGCACTGTTTTCCGTGAACCAATTTTGTGTAAAAATGTTCCTCGACTTGTTCCTGGATGGACGAAACCTATTGTCATTGGACGTCATGCACATGGAGACCAAGTAAGTCCTCTAAACCCAATCAATCTATTTAAACTTACTTTTCGACCACTTTTGTTTCATCTGGCGATTGTCGATTAATTATGTGCATTAATTCATGCTACTGAAAATAACTCCATATGTTTTCATGTGTACACAAACTGTAGCATGATAATCTGAGTATGCTACATATGTAGGAAGTCCCGTAGCTATTATTCATTTTCAACCTGTTGCTTATTGACTCTAACACGTAGCTATACAGGTGGCGTTTTGGAACCGAGTTTCGCATTTCCTAATTCCTTTACATTTGTGGCAAATTAGGTGTGGGTTGGAGATGTTTCACTTTTAATTACTTCGTTTTGAATTATGAGAATTTGCTGACACACATTTCAAACACCGTAGATATTAATTTTGGTTAAATATCTCCATTGATCAAACAAGTGTACGTCCGTAACAACAAAATAAGTTGCAGCAGGAGAATGGTGGTTTCAACGATTTTATGAGGACATAAAGTCCATATTCAAGGAAGAAATATCTAAACATTCAAGTATGAAAGCAACTCATTCTAGCAATTTATCCAGTTCTCCTTATAAATAGTGACTAAGGTTATTGAATACCCCTGAATATCTAAGGCTTCGTCTAAAGTGACTGGTGTGAGGATACTAACACCGGAGGCCTGCAAACACGGGACTTTAGTGACCTCTCAAGATTGGCGACTGAAACGTTGGAGAGAACATGTTGAGGATTGATTCGACTGGCCTGCAGCTACAATACAACAATACAACTATCAGCTACCTCTTATCTGAATGAGATGTAGAAATTAATCCTACAACTGTAGCTGCTTTTGAGAAAGCTTTCTGTAACCTAAAATGTAATAAAGCATCAGGAGAGTCGTAAGGTATTGGTAGTGCTTTTGATGAAGTACACTTTACCAGTACTTACTAAGCGTATTTTACTTATATATCCAATAATTCAGTACTCTGTGTTATCTGTAAGTACTGACAACAAAACGCAGATTAAAGACTTGGTTATTAAGGAACTATCCTCTAGTTCGCAGTGTATTGGAGAAAAATAAAAGACAAAGGTTATCGAAGGAGAAAAATCTAGAACTTATCTAAAGGATATGGCTTTATTACAAACTCAAGGAAAGTGAATGTTGACAGCACAACGGAAAAGCGCAAAATGGCGTTGGAGCCAGTTCTTAAACATTGGATATTGCACTATAGGCACTTAGGAATAGTGGTGATGAATAGGTGTCTATTGATAAAAGTATAAAACGTGGGCACTGTGGTAGGGTATAACTCCATTATGGATAAGATTTCATTTTGATAAACCACAGTGTTATGTAGTAATATTAACTGATGACGTTTCAAGCACAAACTATTCCTCACAATGATATGATTGTGAGCGATAGTTTTTGCTCGAAACGTCATCAGTTAATATTACTACATAACACTGTGGTTTATCAAAATGAAATCTTATCCATAATGGAATTGGTGACTAGATTAACAAAAGTATTTGCCAATTTCTAGTGATCTAAGATTGTTCCAAACAAATAGTGTAGATTGTTGGTTATGCCAGCTTGTCTTAAGGCAGGTGAATCTTCTCGCGATAATCATGGGTGGGTGGGCTTGGCTGACACAGTATCTAAGATTCTATATCTCGTAGTCCTGCAAAGTCGTGCAGGCGCTCTCGAAAAACACGCCCGGGAAAACCAGGTTAGGTATAGTCCTAGATGAAAGTGTGTTGATCATATTTGTGCGCTTCGACAGGTTCTTGAATACTTACTTGTGTCTAATAGGTGCTACGTTTCTTAAGCTGAAAGCTATTATGTCTCGTTCAGCCAGCTGAGAACTTATGAATTTTTGTTGGGTAAAGTGAAGACGACTGGTGTCGACCAGCAGAGATGCGTGTTTTCACAATTTTTATTCGTTTTAATGATAGATTTGCTGATTAAGGCGATCCTAGCTGAATTTCGTGTCTTAAAGGTTGACTTTTTGTTAGGTAATGATGTTATTGGCCTAGATTATCCAGATGCCATTTTCGTTCTAAGTGAATTCACTGAGAAAATGTAGAATCTTCTGAACAATGTGAACAGGAATTTAGGTATGTTTGGCGTGTAGTTCAGTCCTGTCAAATGTAAGATAGTGCTAAATGATTGGTCTGAAACGACCTTTAATTTTTGAATTAAGACAGAAATGGATAAATGAGTATATACGTTTTAAGTTATGAATTTCCTAAGAAGTTGAGGCTTTTTTTAGGATGTAAGTTCCGCATCATCATCGAATATCGCAAGAAAGAAATATATTAGGGTTTATTTTTGGTGTATAGGTATACATTCATCGGATGTATCCAGCTTTGAATATTTTCTAAAAGTAAACTTTGTACCCACAGTTTTCGTTCATATCCTGTCACGTCTCCCAGCTAATTCTATCTCCAAAAGTACAGTTTTAAATTCATCTTAATGAAAAATAACAAGGTTCCAGTGTTTGTAGTATATTGTAAAAACCGTAGTTGGAGGACACAATTTAGGTAATTACATATTCTGGGTAGCTTTTTATCAGGCATTACAATTAAATAATAATAATTATAACATTATTAGTCGTAGATATTTAATTCCTGTTTGGTTAATAAAATTAAAGTTCATATATATGAATTAGTGGATAATAACTAAGGTGATCACAATGGCAATAAGAGGCACAAACTGATGCAAGCAAGTGTTTATATAGCCTAGGTAGTCAATCATCGTGAATGTGTTGGTAGAATATGAATATTTATAGCAGTAGAGAGAAAAATGGCTGTTGTCTCATAGAGATTAGATAAGTATTTGTTTTTATTCTAAATTGTGAAGCTCGGATTGAAATATTCAGTCATAACAGGATGATAACAATGATCTAGGTAAAGATAACAGAAAAAATGAAGACGTTATCAACAGTTGTCTGGTGTCACTGAGGAAGAAAACTATTCTGTGTTCAGGGTAGTTGCCATGGGAGAAAAAGCGACTGGATCGACTTTCGCTGCACATATAGATTGGACTTAAAATTTGATCATGGCAACTGCCTCAGCTATGCTTAGTAGTCGAAGACGTACAAACCTAGAAGATTGTGATAATACCTTGTATAGAATTGAAAATGCTGAATTTTCATCAAGCTTGTCCTCCGTATCCACAAGGTGTACCGATATGGAACACCTGACTGACAGTATGATTCCTTTTCCCAATCATGTTTATCGTGTAAAATTTAGGATTTATTAACATGCATGGAAGCAAACGAATAAATAGAAAAGTCAGCTTACAATCGTGCCAGAATACCAAAGAATACAAAAGGCTTGCCAGTACCAGCCCATGCTTGGGTTAAGAAAATATTAGTTAAGACAATATTGTCACTTTATATTCCAGTGTGAGCACATAGAATCCAGATGCATACATGTCACCCTTAATATATGCAACAGAGAAGACTCAAAACGACTGTCAACAGTATTAGAATATAGTAATGTATCTGTTTAAGCATCTGACAGATTCAGGACTCGATTTGCTTTAAGAATGAGCAGCCGTGTATTATAATCTGTCAAGTAAAAAATTTAACCAGTAGTCTTATACGCAAACCTAGACCAGGTTATCGAGTTGCATTATTGTTGTTATTACCTTGTGAAGACTGTCGCAGCACGGATCATGTTTGTCTTACGCCTCACTCCTACGCTAATATTAGTGCACTATAGTATTTAAGAGGTTTTGACCACCAATGGTGTGATTTCTGCTTATTGTCCTCAGAAATTAATTCCTATACTCATGGTTTGTCCAATCACGTCAATTTCGTATACAACTGTAATCACTGTAGTTGTTGAATTCAACAGGGTTATCCAGAAGTTAAAGCAAACATGAGAATTTCTTTCTGATTGCACACTAGTCAGTAATTAGTGCAATGTGTCCAGTCCTATCTTCGCTGCAGACTGAATTCTATCAGTCAAGCTTGCAATGTGGTCACCATGGTAGGTGGCTCGCCATTACGGTGCACTGTGAATTGTTGGTAATAGATGGTTGGAGGCAGTCGGCAGGAAGCCTTGGGCCTAGTTTTCGTGCTAGTTGGCACTCATCAGCAAAGCGTATCTGCAACCTTGAACCTTGGAAGCCTGAATAGCTCAGTGGTGACGTCTCTGACTGCAGCACTGGGTGACGCGGGTTCGAATCTCAGAAGGGACATGAGTTCCTTCAAGGTTGCAGATACGCCTTGCTGATGAGTGCCAACTAGCACGAAAACTAAGCCCAAGGCTTCCTGCCGACTGCCTCCAACCATCTATTACCAGAAATTCTTTCTGTTTATATCACATCAAGATCAACACTGATAAAATTTGAGACGTAATCTAAATTTGGCGGAATTTCCGAACACTGAACAACTTGTTGCATTTATTTTGTTTCCTTACATTACCAAATTTCTCTAGGTATGTCAGGAACTCATAGGTATTTAGAAATACTGCCGATTGTATGGAATGTATCCTTGTTATTCCGATTAGGAGTGTAACGTTTTAGTGTTCTTTCATCTTGTTAAATTGCTGAGTTACAAAAAATTTTTAAATAATTTTTCACATAAGGAACTGCTACTATACAATCATTAAATCTCATTGTTGTTGTTGTTTGAACTCAGTTTCTAGGACAGATCTTTCATGTTCTACGGCACACTTATTGTGTGAAAGGTATACGATACTGTGCAGTTGTCCCCAGGTGGGATTGGAACGTGGGACCCAGTTGCTTCAAGTTGAATGCTCAACGCAATGAGCCATATCTCCACTTTTAGTTATCTTACAAAACCTTATTTTGTGCTTTAGGAACATTGATGGAAGTCTGACTTAGTACGTATTGTGTAGAAAAGTTTAGCATATTGAAGTGATCTATCCAGCCAATTGACAAATATATACTCAGCAAATGAGATAATTTACTTTTGAAGCAACTTTCTATCAGTTATTCTATGCTTCTGAAGCTTACTAGTAAATAAGTACACGACGAAGTTGCCTAGGGTTTTAGTGAAAATTCACGATCAGTGGGTTCCACCATGTCGGGTGTCGATGTCGACCGGTGGTAGCGCTTGAAGCCACTAATTGACGGGAATTAAAATTGATGGGCCTTGGATTCCATCCAATTGGTCAAGGAGCTCACCTCACATGCTGAAGATCCTGGCTTCGATCCTCGATGGGTGGGATGGGTGTACTAATGAAGAGTGGCAAACTAAGACGGAATAGTTGTCCAGTACTCCCCGGTTTCCAGTGGTTGTCTAACCAATATCAATCCGTGGCCAAACTTGAAACCAATTAAATCCTTGCAAACCCCCTTGAGGAAGGGGTTGGCTAGACACGCACAACACATGTACTCGTCACCTCGATCGATCTAGCTTCACAACCTCATCAATAGATTTGCCCTCTTCACCTTACCTCAATACTATTCACCATATTATAGTCTAACGACAGAAGACAAGGGCCAGGCAACAGATCATTTATTAAGGAAAATCAACACATATTTATAGATTTTCATGTACGTTATTATAGATTATTGTTAGCAGAAAAACACAGTCTTCTGATTGGTTGTTTCTCACTGAAATTTAATCTTTCATCTCTTTGTGGCTGTTTCTTGAATGTCAGATCATCTATATGTTAACTGTATACGCCTACGCAAAGTCTGCTGTGGTTGGTTGTTGAATCAGTCTTTGTTCTTATTTTTCTCTCGACCAATATCGGGGACAGTTGGTGACATGGCTCAAAATCGTTCTCAATGATTGGTGCAGATGCATCCACTCCTTGTGACTTATGATTTCCAATGAAACTGTTTTGTTCTCCGTTATTACTATTCCTTTGTCTCACACCTCTGTTTACTGTCTCTAATATGCATTTCTCCTACTTTCTTCTCTTGCTTTGTGTGCTACAAGCAGGGAGTGTGGTGACTTGAACTGGCGCACATATGTGCAAAGTTCTATGTCAAAAACAGACAGACAGAATATCGGGGACGTAAACATTGACGTAAATTACAGTCTACCAATTTTTGGCTAGCAGCCAGCTCTCACCAAAATTTGTTTGTTTGAAATGGAAGTACGTTGTTTATTTGTTTGATTACAGCTTGATTCCACATCGTATTTTTTGGTACAGGTATGGAATTTTCAGCATGTGATATCGGTAGCCCAAATTTTGCAGGCTGACCATAGATATCAGGTGTGCATCGGGAGGGGATCGAACCCCGGACCATGTGCATGGTTGACGAGAGTCCTAGCCACTGTGCCACCGACGCACCTAGATTAGCAGGCAGAACACAGCCATCTGTAATCAGAGGCTAAACTCTAGGTGACATCAACAGCTCGCCCATACAACGCAAGGTGTGCCAATTGGAACAGTTCGAATATATATAACCATAACTCAGATTACGGAATATGTTCATCTGCCTTCCAAGGAAATATTAATATCGATTACCTGTTTATAATTATGAATATTCGTAAATCATTAAAGTATGAAAATGTATTTGTTTTCTTCTGTTTCCACCGTCAAGTACAAAGCATCCGATGTTGTTATTAAAGAACCAGGTCTAATGGAACTTGTATTTACACCGAAATCGAAAGGAGGATCAGTGGAACGTATTAAAGTATTTGAATTCACTGGTGGCGGAGTTGGCCTAGCTATGTACAATACTGATGAAGTGAGTAATATAATAAATTGCCTGACACTTTCTCTCTTAATTATGCGTAATATATATTTATACATTTTTGTGATGTCTTTTGAAACAACTACCACTAGTTGATGTATGTAGCACACGCCTACTCATATGAGTCAATCAGTAGTGTATAGTCTTATTCATTTACTTTTACTTTACTTCGGCTATCTCCTACGGGAGGATGAGCCGGCTTCATGAACATCTCGAATCATCGCTGCCCAGGCGCGGCGATCTGATGAAGAGAGTTCATGAAGTTTCATGGGAATTTGGTACGAGTGATGTCCCCAGAATCGCTCGGCCTTTTGTTTGAGAGTGCAGCTCTAGCCTTTACACAACCAAGTGTGACTTACAAGGCAGTAGGAGTGGAGTAGGGAGTTCACTATTCATTGGCAGCCGGTGACCGGAGTTCGGTTCATACGCCTTTTTGAATGGGGCCAGACATCCAGGACATCCAACAAGCCCTTTGTCCATACGTCTGCCGGTGAGCTCCAGTGAGCTTCATGCGCCAGTCGTTGGAGGTTTGGAATCAGGGTTTAGCCATCTCTCCTAGACTGTCAACCAATGGACAGTCAACCCGGTGAAGAGCGCCGGGCATCCGCTTTCGCCCTCTCACTTTGGTGAAAAACACCTGTGCCACGTGAAGGCAGTGAGTAGGACTTCCTCAGGAGAGGCTATGTAAGACGCCCGGTCATATGGGAGCATTTCAAGAGGTGTGCGGAGGGGTGGCCAACCCGCAGTGCAAGGCACCCACTCCCGACCATCCTGAGGCTTTGGAGGCAATTAATAGTGTTCTCTGAGCTGGTTGGTTTAGTTGCGGAGCTTTCGTCGTCCTTCTGGACAATATCTTCAGCGCAATATTTAGCATAAAGTGAAATGATTTAAATTTCTTCAAGAGTGATACAATTGCGTCTCCTCCCGGTAACCATCTTTACATATATATTGACCATTTTCTATTGACTTTATGAGTTCTATCCAAGTTGATAATTGCGTTTTTAATGTTTTCATCACTATAGAGTAATTGTTGCATAGTTTCTGTTGCTAGTTTTGGACTAATTGAAGTATATAATGCTGTGACATCAAAGGACACCATTATTTCATTGTCTTCTACTTGAATGCTTTTTGATTTTCTCTAAAAATTGGATTGACGAATTGATAGAATGGTCGCATGATTCTGTTAGGTAATTTAATTTCCTGAAAAGTTCTTTAGATAGATTATATGTTGGTGTTCCTGACAGCGAAACGATTGGTCGTAAGGGAATGTTTGGTTTGTGTATTTTTGGTCTACCATAGAATCGAGGTAAAATAGGTCCGTTAGATTTCATTCGCCATTGATCTTGTTCTGTAATCTGTCCTGATTTCGTTAGTTTATTTAACGTTGTTCTGATTTTGTTATCTAATGTTTGTATAGGGTTTTTTGTCAACTGTTGATATACATTATTATCTTTGAGTAAATCCTCTGCTTTCTTTATGTAGTCTTCTGTGTCCAGGATTACTGTTGTTCTTCCTTTATCAGCCGCTAGAATAACTATACCTTTTCTGTTCTTCAGTTTCTTCAATGCATTTTGCTCTTCAGTGCTCTTCAGTTGGGAATTATGTCTTTTCCGTTTGAGTATAAGTATGATATATTGACGTACTTCTTGTTGTACTTCCTCATTTAATTTTGATAATTTGAGTGATAATTCTAAGGAAGCACAGAAATCTGTTACTGAAGCGTCACCAGTATTGTAGTTGAGTCCTTTCTGAAGAAGTTGTTCTTCTACAGTTGATAATGGTTGTTTTGATAGATTTACTACACAATCATTTAGAGTTTCTTCAGATGGTTGTTTGGATATCTTAGCTAGTTTTCCTATGAGAACGACTCGTCTTCGTTCCTTGTGTCGTTCGCTTAATATTTTAATGGCAGTATTCAATGTTGACAGATGTTCATTTATGCTTGATTTCTTGATCAAGCATATCACATAGTGTGATTTGTATGGTTTCAGTTTCATAAGAAAACCGTGGCGAAGTCTGATATTTTCGAACCGTGTAAATTGCGCGTTAGTTTGCAAATTGCAAATTTCATTTATGGCGTTACCATTTAGTCGAAGTAGCTAGCTAGAAGTCGAGTGGTTTGAACTGATTTGTCTCTCTCTGTCTGAACTGAGTCAAACTGGGATGAATCGCTGACGAGTTCGGTCACAAACGTTCGAAATGCCCGTCTAGTGCTTAGATCACTTTGATAATCTCACTAGCAAGTACTAATGGTTGATTTATGATTAGTAGACAACACTACTCACCTCAATCAATCAGTAGTATATTGGCTTATACATTTGTGAAGTTTCAGTTTCATCATCATCATCTCTCTCTATCTATCTCTAGTTTTATCCCCTTTTTTTGTTCATTTAATATTTATGTAGAGTATTCGTGGTTTTGCACGTAGCTGTTTTGAATATGCTTTGAGTAAAAAATGGCCTTTATATTTGAGTACTAAAAATACAATATTGAAACGATATGATGGAAGATTTAAAGATATATTTCAAGAGATATATGAACAGTAAGAAATGAATTTTGCTATTAATATTATTATTATTGTTATATTATTATATTATTATTGTATCCTTTAATTCCTAGAGGAACATAGGGCTTCAGCTGTGCGTCTCCATTGCGTTCGGTTCTCTGGCTACAAGTCTGCCCACACGTTTTCATCTCCTCTTCACATGACCTCCTCCAAGTCACCCTCACTCTTGCACTGACGACCAACTCATCGCTTCCCTTTCGGGTTCCACTCGAGCAATGGCTTGTCTAGTGATGTCACTTGATGGATTGTTTCCTCAGAGTATGGCCAGCCAACCCACCTCCATTTCTTCCTGCCTATTTGTTTCACAATCGGTTCCTGCTGGGTTGGTTCGCTCATTGCCAGAGATCTCTGTTGCTGATCTTTTCTGGCTGGCCATCTGATCTTGAGTATTGAGCGAAGACAACTGTTAATGAAGATCTGTAGTTTGTTTGAGATGCTGTTCATGACGCGCAGTGCAAGTCTCTGATCCGTATATTGAGCAGCACTGACTTCACATTGGAGTTGAAAAACCGGATCTTATTTTTGATGCTGAGTGTTGCTGACCCCCACACAGACTTGAGATTAGTTGAAGCTTGTTTTGCTTTTCCGATTCTTGCTTTGATATCCTCGTCAGTTCCGTCGGCCTGTAGTTGAAACGATGCTTCCCAGGTAGGTAGGTAAAGGAGGTTGTTTCTTTCAGGTTCCTTCCATTTATGTAGATTGTTGTGTGTTGTTGTTGTTTCTGCTGTTGGTGGTGTTGCCCAGGAACCTTCATCACCTCTGTTTTCTCTACGTTCACCTGAAGTCCCTCCTATCTTTGATGCTTCTTGTGCCAACTTGTTGCTTTTCGCTTGCACATCTTCCAGTTTGTGGGAAATCAGACATATATCATCGGCAAAGTCCAGATCCTCCAAGTTTTTTGTGTGAGTCCATTTTATGCCTGTTTCCTCATTGCTCGCTGTTTGTCGCATTATCCAGTCTACTACAATCAGGAAAATCATTGGCGATAGGAGGCAGCCTGCCTTGTCTTACTCCAGTCTTCACTTCGAATGATTCCGTAAGTTTCCCGTTGTGGATTACTCGGCATGCAGCATTGTCGTACAGCTGTTGGATGAGATGTATAATTGTCGGTATATTGTTATTACTACATTTTTCGCTGTTGTTATGTCGTTATGTTTATTCACTTACTCTGAGATTGATCTTATAATTAGTCTGGAAGGGACTGCTGAACATTTCATTCTGTCTTATTGCACTTCGTTGAAAGTTCAGTGTATAAGTTTACAGCTCTAATAGCATATGTATGTTCTTTGCATCCCGACCGATATCTGCTATCCTAACGTGGTAGTCGAGCTTGCATGCCGCAATAACTCAATGAGCTACACAGGCTGTTCCTGCAGATGATCCTGTCATGCCAGAATGTGGTTTGACTAAAAAGTTACCATCAAAGTAGAAGTTTTTTACACACAATGTCGGGAGCCTGTAGGTGAAATCCTACCGCTGGGGAATCGGGATGTAACAGAAATGAGGTGTTTTCGTCAGATGACTATCCTGCCAACTATGTTGCCTCTCCACTCTGGAGATGGCATGGGGATTGGAAAAGGCTGAGTCCCAAAAATGTGCACCACAACTTATCTTGTGGTGTCCGTAACCAGCAGTAAGATGTTAATACGGACGCAACTTCAGAAATTATCTCAAAGAGGCTGTGTGTGTGTAGCCAGTCTCAAACAGTTGTCCCCTGGGCTCTGTGGTCACTTAGCACTAATGCTCTTTCCGTTCCTGAGGTATCCCAAGAAGAAATCAACTATCTTGTAGATAATCAGGGAGTAGTAACGACCACCCACGCACTTTCAAAAACACACCAAGCTTTCCTGAACGTCTTTTCTACTTGCTTCTTAACGTTATTTATGATAGAACAATGGGAGCTAACTGACTGGTTTCATCACAGAACATTGCAGTGAAATGCAGCAGTTCTAGCTGCCACACCATGTCGCACACAGAGGAAGAAAAAGGAGAAGAAAAAGAGATCCAAAAGAACGACAGCAAGCACAAATGTGAGGGAGAAAGAATAGTAAAATGGAGAAAACATGAGGGTTTAATGGATATAGGAGGTCACAAGAGGTGAATGCATCTGCTCCACTGTGAATAATTTTGAACCACATGCCCAATAGTCTCCAGCTATTTATTCTTAGCGCCCTGATGACCACAACCATGCAGTCTACACCTGCCTACGTGGTTGGTTCAAACCAAATGTCAAAGACTTCATGGATTGATTCCAGGTTTTCGTTTGACCGCCACTAGCTCCTTTCAACTCTGATCCTATGCCAGCTGACATCTCTCGTCGACGAAGGCAATGGCTAGGCATACATAATACATGTCCCAACTATCTCAATCGACGTAGCTTCACAACTTCATCAACTAACTTCCTCTCCTCACCTAGCACTCAACACCTTACCTCAATATTACTCACCATATTGTACCATTTAAGACAGCAGATAGAACGCAGAAACTTACGATCAAAAACAGCTAACCTTTTCGTATCAGCCACTTTCAGTGGCCATGTCTAACAATCATGAATATGAACGGGGCGAACTGCTGCACAGTACACACGTCCTCTGATCGCTAGCTGAATATCACGTCTTCGTCAAAGATGGCGTGTGTTGGCAAATGCCACCCGAGCTTTCTGTATCTATGCTGAGATTTCGTCAGAAATCAGTTCATTGGAGCTGATTCATCTTCCCATATAAGTGAAGTGGTCAACCACTTCACTCCCTATCCTCAAGCTAGGAGTCAATGTATTTCAGTCCTGTGGCATCATCTTGCAGGAGCGAATCGCATTTAAAACCTTCGAAGATTGCTTCTGAACGTATTCAGAAGACTCTGCATCTAATTAGCATCTTCACATAGGAAGACTATATCATCTGCATATTATAAGTCAACAAGACTATTCTCTGGTAACATGTCAATCCCTAAGTCCCTGAAGTCAGTTAGAGTCAATTCTATTAGTACATTTATGGTGAAATTGAACAGAAATGGGGACAGTGGACATCCATGATGGGCACCACTAGTTGTAGTCACTTTAGGTGACAAATCTCCGTAAACTCTTGCCTGGCTCCGTGAGTTCGGGTAGTGTCTTGATTAGTGCAATGTACTTTCTTGGGACTCGCTTCACAGCCGAACATTACCATAGTACCTCTCGATTGACGCAGTCGAATGATGCCTAGAACAATAGATTGAGCAATGTTAATGTGAACGCTAGATAAGCAAGACAAGTTTGTCCACAACTTTACAACTTTACTAAATCAACTGGCTTGGTTTTGTGTTGTGTCTTCCAACATACTGTCAGTGTGGTCAGTCAATAGTGGATAAGATCAAGACATCATACCAATCTATGGGGTTATTGATTGTTTCTGTAGTGTCTTCAAGGAACTGGAGATTGTTAGTCTCTGGTCTGCCCAAGATGGTAGGAAATTTATAAATTCTTCCAGTCGTTAGTTCCAACGTTTAGCACTGTATGTTTTGTGACGAATAAGAAAGGTTGGCTTTTTGAAATAGTGTAGGAAAGTATGACTGCACAAGACCCTATTGTAAGATTCTATATGGAAATCACAGTTATCCAAGTCATTGGGTCACATTTCCACAATAACCCTGTATCAGTATAAATTAAGTTATATGAAAGTATACTTTACCTCAGTACTACCTAACACTTATGTTTGTCGACCGTTGTATAATTCTTCTTCTGTTAACATCGTTTCCGCTTACTTCTTCGAAGTGTGGTAATATGAAGTGATTCACTTTTACTTGGTAGTGATTAGCAGTGGAATCCAGGATGTGCCCATTTTGTTGTATTTGGGGGTCTTCAGCTGGATGTATCTGCATCCATGTCCATAGTGGCATCTCGACTGTGACTCGAATCCTGGACCCATCGTTTCGGCCGCTAAAGCATTATCCAGTTTCGTTTTATTTTACTGCTTACAAGGGCCAAATATTACGGTTTGGACTGACTTTTTGACAAATAATTGTTCAGGATTCTAGCTTAACTCGTTTGTTTTACAATGTCCTATTTTTCACTATTATTATTATTATATGTGCAAAATTAGCATTCACCTTCAAAGTTATACGGTCCTCTTTTAAATGTTATATAAGGTGTTTTAGTTAATGTAATTATCTAGGTGACATGAATGGTAATCGATAAGTAGTGCCACTACTGTTACTAAATGGTTAACGACTTCTCGTAAGCTGTAGGCGCCGGTTTGATTCACGGTGGAGTTATGGGTGCGTAATGCTGAAGAGTCCACGAGTCGAACATGACAACTGTTCAGTACCTCCTCCTGTGGCCCCATAGGCCAAAGCACTCGATTTTCAGGTAATGGGTCATCGGTTCAAAACGCTCCTCACCTACTTCACCATGAGCAGCGGGGTAGTATCATCAGCTGTCACACATCAGGTGTGGTTTATGACCTGGTACTACCTATTCCAGGTAGCAATAACAACGCTACCATGAATTCTATAGACGCCCAAACACAGTTCACTTGCAGTTCTTATGGTGTCGAAGAGAGTTGTTGTGTAGAAAAAGTTCCAAAGTGACCATATCCGTTTATTACGTGAATTTTGGTGAGTATTGGCCTGAATTATATTTACGTAGGGTAGTTTTCATGTGTAATTGGTCAGAAATACGTAATACATATTTAGAGGTTAACATCATCTACGAGATCAGTGATACCACCTGTGACATGTAATCATCCATGCCAATGTATGTAGACAAGCGATGACATCAATTTAGTTGAGAAAATGTAAAACCATTGAACACTGAAAAACTAAAAATACCAAAGAATACCTTGGGAACTAGATATGCAACTTCACTCAGCAAACGTGCTAACAAAGGTCAAATTTGTTGGTATTAGGTGGTTGGAGGCAATCGGCCACAGGAAGCCTTGGACCTAGGTTTCGTGCTAGTTGGCACTCATCAGCAAGGCGTATCTGGAACCTTGAAGGAACTC